TCATTGAGTATGTTCAGCTTATTTTATTTTTACTCTTTTTTCATTCCAAGTCAGTTTCGTCATTTAGATTTAATGCATTATTTTTCTCTTTTGAAATCAATCTGCCGATCTTTTCCATGCCTAAACTTTATATCAAGATTTGGGAATATTCAACTATTGTAATCTAATAGTGCATAAAATTCCCATTGTATATGTACTATTCTTCTACATGTTATTCCATTCTTAAATTTCACTTTTATGGTCTAGAGATGTTTCATGTTTCTAAATCTTAATCGCTAGATGTATAATGCTATATTTTTCATCACATTTCAGGAGATTTCATTGAATTGATTCAATGGATGCAAGGGTTCAGGCAACCCAATTTTTATCTTGAAGGATTATTGACCTATGATTCCATAATTCGTCATAGCTCACAATTTCTTACACATGAATTGTCAAAACAACTACATCATTCTAAACCACATAAGTTATTTCACTTTTTCTGCCAGTACTTTTGCATTTTATGAGAAAACCTAGACCCTTTCTCATGTTTTGTTTTCTAGAAATATTGGTTGACTAGGATCCTCACTCGACGGGATAATGTAGATAAAATGAAGATCTACTCGAAAAGTATTTCCAGATTTGTGTGTGTAAATGGCAGTTCCTTTAGTTTGATGTGCTTACCATATGTGTCATTTTATGATATGCTTCTAATACTATTTGATTCTATAAAACATCTACAAATGTTAGATGGCTTCCACCAAGTTTGCAATGACTAAGCTGATAGAGTTTTTTTTTGTATTGAATGTAATTATGTAATGATCCACCGAAGTCAATCTTTGAATTTTAATGTTGAGAGCATATTTCAATTCAAATTATATAGATATTGCTATAGCTTCACATATCTTTTGGTATCATTAAATATACCCTTACAAATAAGAAAATCATTGGGTTTGGACATTACATTTGTAATTGTGCTAATTTTATAGTCAGTGGCTGCAATAAGATTATCATGATTCCATTGAAGAAAGCAACCAACTATTATTAGGGGCAGTAACACTTTAGCTTGAAAAAGATCTATTTAAATTGGTAAATTAGTTAATTTAGTTACATAACATGAAAAATGTGTATGTGTACTACAAAATTTAGGAAATTAACACCGCCTTTGCTATTTAAAACTTAAAAGGACAATATGAAGTTCCAATATTAGCAATATAGTATGTAGTGGTGGCTTCGGGCCGGGCCTAGGCCTGACCGGGCCGCCGGTTAGGAAATGTTGGTCCCGGGACCGGCCCAGGTAGCCACCGGGTCCGGGCCGGGCCTCGGGCCTCTTACATATTTTTTCCTTTTTCTAATTAACCCCCAACCCCCCAAACCACCCCAAATGGCCCAAAATACCCAGCCCAACCCGGGGATTTAAAAAAAATTGAAAAAAAAAGCCTGGAACCGGGCCCAGGCCGGCCGGGTCGGTTCATGTTTTGGGTGACCCGAGCCCGGACCAGAAACCCCTCGGATCAGGCCTACCCGGACCGGTCACTGGCCGGGCCACCAGGTCGGGCCAGGCCAGAACAGTGCCGGTCCCAGGCCGGTTCCGGGTCGGGCCACCCGCCCGAGTCCACCACTAATAGTATGTCATAACTATAAATGAAAAAGGAAAATTAACCTTGAGCTATATTTGGTAAGTCTATTTATTACATTCAACAAACATTCTTGCCAACTTTCTTCATATAAATAAAATATGGGGTTTTTTTGCAAGGAAAATATGGAGTTTTCTTTAAATAGGTTGTTGAAATCACAAATTACAACCTTGAGTAATGGATAGTCTATACACAGAGAATGAGGAATTGATTAGTGGTAGAAATTATGGCATCAAAGTTCTACTTGTGTCATGTCATTGCAGCTTATGTGTTTACTGTATGAAGGTATCACAATATAGTCTTACGAGTCTTACGAAATAGTCCGTAGTTTAAATAATGTTGTCTACAATGAAGTTTTCGCTAATTTATAAAATGTGTGTTTTTTAAACTTTTAATATCTACTACCTCTGTTCTCTTTTAATTGCAACGCATGACTTTTTTTACTATTCACAGATTCTACTTTGACTACATTTTATTTATTAATGTGTTTCGAATTAAATTTTTTAAAAATATTTTTAAATTCCTATTATAATAAATTTTCAAAAACTGATTTTTTATATTTTTTTCTAATAAGGAAATGAACGGAGGAAGTATTAACGGTCAAACGTGTGCGTTGTTAAGCGTGAAAAGTGGACTGTTGCATTTAAAAAAGAACGGAGGAAGTATTATATTTTATTTGTTTGTGGGAACTCTTATTCGTGTGATAAAAATAATAATATGATAAATACTTACATTTATATGTTAACATTTATATCATCTTGCACATTTCATCCCGTGCAACGCACGGGTGGAATACTAGTGAAAATGAATAATGGTTTATGCGTGGATTTATAAAAATATACATCTAGCCGATCAAAAAAGACAATTACTATATTTATCATCACAATTATTATTATTATTATTATTATTATTATTGTTATTAGAATATTATATTATTATTATTATTATTATTATATTTTTCTTCTTCTTATTATTATATTTTTGTCTACCTTTGATGTCAATTTTGTTTGTTGATATAATAAAAAAATTACACGATTGGATTATATTTGTTCCGTGCATCGCACGGGTGAGAATCTAGTGGTAATTGAAACAGGTGGAGAGCTAGGTGTACTGGGTATGCCATGATCCTGGTGATCATTGGCTGGAGTGGGTGGCGGGCTATTATCGCAAAACGGTGGAGTGATACCATGTGAATAAACTGGACAGGTTACTCTAATGAGAGTCCTGAGAGATATATTTATAATAAACAGGAGTTTCCTAAATACAGAATAATTCCTTATATGTATTAGCTATTACATATCACGGGTAAAATCTTTTTTAAGTAATTAATCTAGGCAATGAGTAGTGGCCCTGCAGACCAATTTGATCATGTCAAAAGATCTTTCGTGAACCAACGTGCTCAAGTGAATAGTTTTAAACTTAGGATTAATGAATTTGATATACTCATGTGCTGTCGAGGTTCAATAATTGCAAAGTTTAAGAGAAATTTAGCTAAGAAATTTAGCCAACCTCCATTGTTTGGCATTCCCCAGAAGTGGGGTGGCAGTGAGTGGCACAATACTCATGAGGGAGCAGGCTGGATCTAGTGAGTATTGGTATTGGTGGCATTTTGTACAGATTTAATGTGTTGGTTGAATTTGAGTTTGACATATGAGTTTTTTTAGCACACATTATTAATATGTTTTTGTAACACCCCAACGCCGCAGGACCCGGGGTAGTTACTTCGGACCTCTAGTACTGTCCCCACAAACCGCCACTAGCCTTTTACGCGCACTTTGTCCTCACTCGTGCGCGCCCTGAGAAACTTCCCAGGGGGTCACCCATCCCAAGACTACTCCCGTGCAAGCACACTTAACTTTGGAGTTCTTGGGTTATGAGCTCCCTTAAAAGGAGATGCACCTCTGTTGGTATGAGTAGTACTATTAATCCATTTATATTAAATCTCAAGTGTTACAGTTTTTATCTCATTCTCATTAGATATCACCATTAATACTACACATGAGAAATATGAATTAATATCATTCGTTTGAATGAAAGAAATTATAGTAGAAAATTTAATGTGCGACATAAGTCATGATTTGTTGGAATGAATTCTTGTTAGAATATGAACGCTTCAAACTTCCCCATGATCAACGAGAGGAAATATCATTGACGAATCAAACAAAAATTATTATGAAAGGGAAGACGAGGGATAATTATTGTTTCCTGCGGGGTGGGTATGGCGGACATGAGGCATAAAACGTATGACACCACATCCATAAATCGTGTGAGAAGTTGGATTTGAAAGTTAAATATCCTATTTAGAGATGACAATTGTTACCGACCCGATGGATATCCGCACCGAACCACCCCGGTCAAAATGGGGAAAACCGCATTGATCGGATAATGGGTACGGGGCGGGGAATACCCGTTTTGTTTTTACGGGTAATGGAGCGGTTATGGTTTTATGCATGCCCGCCCCATTAGCCGCCCCGTACCCACCCCGTTTATTTTTAGCTATTTTTTATTACTTTTTTATCTATTATTTGTCCCACAACTAATAAAAGATGAGATTTTTAATTTTCATTGTGTATATATGGATAATAATGTACTAACTATAGTGTAAGAATGAAAGTTCTCAACAGAACTTCATAGCCTTGTTTGATCATTCTATGATTTTTCGTGATTAATTATTTTTGAGATTAAGTATTGTTTGGTTCAAATTAATTTAGGTTGTCTTCTTTCTCGTCGTATAGATATATGAAGCTTTAAAGTGGCATTTGAGTCTAGCGTCGTCTAGGTGATGCCATTTTTCACCTTTTAAAATATTATTTTTTATTAAAATATCAATGACTCGTTTAATAAAGTGATTACCCGCGGTTATAACCGTTACCCGTTGGGGCGGTTATGGTTTGGGTAAAAATTACCCGTTGGGTAATGGGGCGGTTATGGGGTGGGGAATTACCAAACGGGGCGGGTACGGTTATATGTAAAACCGTCCCCGATCCGCCCCGTTGTCATCCCTAAATTCCTATTAATGGTGGATAATACACGTTGATGCGTCTTGATGATCACGAAACAGTGACGGGAATGTGAATTTTAATTACGAAATTTGCTATGTCTATCATGAAAATATATGTTGAAAAACTGATTGTGTTGCCCATACAGGCTCATAACACATGGTCCATACACAAATATTCTAGTTGTTATGAATATGATTATACAAGAGAATGAGAGGTATGTGAACAATGCGAGCCCGTAGGCACGAAACATTCCTGTATTCCCAATGCACTGATGACGATGTAAATGAAAATGTGAACCACGCTTAAAGAAACCAAACTTCAACGGGTGACTTATAGAACCACCACTTTGAGTTGCGGTTTTCCGTAACCACAATTAACTCAACGATATTCTGGAAATTATTCTGAAATCAACAATATTTTGAATTATTTTATTTAATTAGCGTTGATTAGGAAAAACTAAAAAAATGAATGAGATTAGTGCGAGATGAGCTTTTTTTGAGGAGAGTGAGAGCTGGATGAGCTTTTTTGTAAGAGAGTGAGATGAGTTTGTCTCCGGCTTCACCACCCTCAAACTCTTCTAGGCTGGGGAGGTTCTTTGACTCGCTTGTGAAGAAACACTGCTGGGCTAAGGCTGACACGGTGCCTGGCCGCCACCCAGACCGGTGGCGCAAGGATTCCGCCGGCAACATAGTCTGCAAACGCTTCTGCAATTGTCAAGGCTGCCTCTGTTTTGAATATGATCACATTGTCCCTTTCTCCAAAGGCCAGTCACTCTCTAGCCCTACCATGTCTACCTACCCACTAAATAACTGATCTCAAATTTTTCTTCTATGGATGGAATTGAAGAATTTAGGGGTTTCTAACCTTTCCTCTATGTTTTATTGTCTATGATTTATCGTTTTCCGTGCTTTTTTGAAATTCTTCCGTTAGCTGCTCAAATGTTTCAGTTCTTTCTTGAAATAAAATATGCATTTTATTATATCACAGGTATTTATCTTAATTCAAATGGGATCTAGTGAGTAGTGACAACTGTAGCTTACATTATGCAACTTTTATTTTCTAACCTTTTAAAAACTATCGATTTTTTCCTTAGCACTTGGCCTATTTTGATAGTGAAATGTGTGGTGCATTGCAAATCATGCAGGAGGTGAATCAGTGGCTGAGAATTGCCAGATTCTCCAAACGAGAGTGAATAGACTCAAATCAGATAAGAATGAGATTGATGTTACTCGGTTAAAGGGATACTCATGCGATATCAAGTTCACTGGTATGTTTCTCCTTTTGAATTTCATCGGTTTTTTGTATTTCCCTATGAGTTTCAATACTGTACTTATCTCTTTAAATTTTCTGCACCAGGCCTCGTTTAGTATCCTGAACTTTATAGGTCCTAGTCCCTAAATATCTCAGTTTTGGTGTGACATTTCTGCAACTCATATTTTTTTTGAATTTGCATTGAACAGTATCATGGATTGTGAAAGCATCATGTTTGTTATGTTTATGTCATTTTTTGGTACATATAGTGTAAATATATGTAGGATATAGTATGTTAGATCATTTTGGAATATGTAGATAGGAATTTAGAAAATGGCGACAAATTTTGGAGAACTAAAGTTTTTGGCCTAGTCGAAGCAAAACTGAGTATATGGAGTGTAAGTTTGGTGGAGGTAGAAGCAAAGATAACAGTGGGATTACCTTAAATGGTAAGGAAATGCCGTTAAGTGATATGTTTTGCTACCCGAGCTCCACAATTAAGAAGCACGGTGAACTAGATGCAAATGTATCCCATAGATTAAGAACACGTTGGATGTTTGTAGCTTCTTCAATCTCCTAAGTTGTTTTTCAGACATACAGTTCCAGGGAACTTTACCTAAGGGAATAATGTTCGTTATCATCTTCATGCCTCGAGTCAGTATTGTTTTCATATGTCTCTTCCATGCTCCAAAAATAAAAGCAGTCCAATGATCCTATAGAAGAAACATGTTACACTTCAGTCCAACTTATGTAGCTTCTCTATTAACTAGATGTTACATAAATTAACTCTTCTTTATTACTCTGTACTTTATTTTCTTTGGCAATTTCTGTTGCTTAAGGCTTGGATGTTGTTGTATATATATACTCCCTCCGTCCCGCTAAGATTGTCCCAGACGCTAAGGTTGTTGTATCTTTGGCATTTTCTTCCTTGGTTTTGACAAGCTAGTATCAACTACAAGTCTGAAGTCTGAAGTCTTTGGTTAACTCTTTTAAGTATTGGTTTATGGATCAATGAAGCTAATATTCGCATTGCCAAATGTGCAGCAGGGAAAAGGAAATACTCTTCTGCATAACATGTTATTGACAATCCGTTAAGCTAGTATCAACTACAAGTCTGAAGTCTTCGGTTAACTTTGTTAAGTATTGGTTTATGGATCAATGAAGCTGATATTCGCATTGCCAAATGTGCAGCAGGGAAAAGGAAACACTCGTCTGCATAACATTTTATTGACAACCCGTTAATGCAAAACCACATGCTTACATGCTCTTATAAGTCACGGCTTTACGTTTGTCTAAGATTGACAATGATAAAGTCTCTGGATACTAATGACATCCAACACATTTTCTTTCTCTTTCCGCTAATTTTTATTTGAAGCTTCATGATATGGATCTGCCTGAATATCTTGGTAGATCTCAACTCTGGAAGATGAACTGAACTGTTACCAGTTGGCAATACAGAAGAGAAACATCTGAGATAGTATGACTAGTTCTTTTTTGTCATGGAATTATTTGACCTGAGCTTCCCCTAGTCAGAGATCAGATCATATTTAGCTCTACTGTCTAAACATTGGATGATGTCCATGCTAGGTTTCTTCAGTTCAGTTACTTATGGCTCTCAAGTTGCATAAGTATGGTTTGGGCATAAGTATGGTTTGGAAAATTTAATATGGAGTTGAGAGCATTTATATGGTTTGGAACTGAGAGAATTTAATATGGTTTCACGTAAGAGAACTGAGAATGAAACGGCAGGGGAGGCTCCTTCACGCTCAAGTGAATGGTAACGTGGAGAAATGCACCTTTTAGTATGAATTCACCTTTTTTTTCTTCCCTTTATACATACTGAAATCACTTTAATTCAAATATTTCCTCCATATTTCTACCATATTTCCATTCAACCAAACAATATATATTTTAATCTATTTTTGACCTATTTCTCTTTTCCTTTCGTACCTACCTAGTTCTCCTCCCTCTATATCTTCTCCCCATTCCAAGTGAAGCTTCAACAAAGGAGAGCAGGAAAACAACCATGTAGAAACTCACAAGGCAACAACCATAGATGCCATTATATATGGCAAAAGTTGGGGAACTCAGTGGCACACTGCATTGCTGACGACAGCATTCTGCTAATGTGGGTCATATTGCTAATGTGTTGACAGGAACTGATCATGTAAACTTCCTTTGTTATCTTGTTTTCAAACATATAGTATTGTACTATTGTGCCTTTATAAACTTACACATGATCTTACTTTTGTGGTGTATTATTGTATTTATGTGGTTATTCGATTCAAGTGGACTATTCAATTCCCATTTTTTGTCTTGCCCATTGCCGTAGGACGGTAGGAGGATATATATTTTTGATTAATACTTCCTTCCAATGGAACTTGGATAGGTCAAAAAATTCATCTGAATTACTGATTTCTTAAGTGCGCGAGAGCCAAAAGCTTGAAGAATTCTGAGATTCTCTTTCTTTCGTACCTTTATTTCTGAGTTTTGAGTCACGAGTTTCAAATATAGAACTGAGTACACATTTGTAGTATTATATAGTAACTGTGAAATCTTGGAAAGAGCCATCGAATTATAGGGCTGGTATAAAGTCTTGATGAAAATACTTTTATGGAATTGCCTTAAGCACGCTGCAGCCTTCTCTAATCTCTTCTCCCAAGAACTCTTATGTACCATACAGCTATACTTTTCAAGTACATGACTGTCCTTAACAAACATCTAGAGCAATATGAAGCAAAACAAAGGGAAGGTAAGACTATACCTCTAATGTAAGTGTAATATGTAAAGAATTTGTATAGTACATTAGTACTGGTGCCAGGCTTATGGACATTCACGATATATGCACTATGAGAACCTTGTCATAAATTTCATTTATAGAGATTAATGCATTCTGGCAATGCAAATTTTCTGTATGATGCATTGACCTTAATGGGATAACTCTACTTTGCAGATAAAGAGCTTGATATTATTGAAATGGCAGTTTATGGAGATGTTGTCAGGCCTGGAAAACAATGCCGTTGCAGAACTATCGATGAAGTGTTGGGAAAACACAAGCCCAAGGACCACACAGCTGCTTGTACATTGCCATATGACAATCAATCATTATAGCATGCAATGATTTATAAACAGCGTGAACTCTCTAATTTATAGCTTTCTTTGGGGCATAACTTGCAAAAACTGGCTTTGCAGTATACAGCTAACACTTGTTCACCAACTTTTCAAGCCTAACTGGTAAAAATGTCTCCTGAATAATGGTCACGGTTCTAGTTCTTATCTGAAACTAGAACAAGATCGGCCTGTTTAATAAAAAACTTACAAACGTATTTTCCTGCATTTTTTTTGCTTTTCCCATCAATATCTCTTTTGGGAATAAGGCTTGAATGTAGTTGTTGTTTCCATCAATATTTCCAAAACACATTTGTGATCAGTTTGTGGTTATTATACATGCTTAATTGTGATAATTTTTCATTGTTACTTTTGTATTCAAATCATGCAGTCACGAAAGGTGCAATACACATTTCGAGCCATAAAATAACAACAGCAACAATTACTTTGTATAATAATGCTACTACTAATAACAAGCAAACACTTATTTCGAGAAACTTATAATGCCCTTGCTGTCATTTTATGCTGTACATACGGGCAGAATAACAGCCATCTAAATCAATATGATAATCAAAGCCGTTAAATAAATGCATCGATCAAAGTTGCTCAGAAATTAGTTAAGCTTTAATAACTGAGTGCCAAATAGAGCAAATATGAGTATATGACTATATGAGTATGTTCTTAAAAAATGACTCTATGAGTATGACGTTTTGTATTTGGCCGTAGCTTCTTAAGCATCAGTCGTCCGAATTTAAGGTGCTTAGTTTAGTTTATAATATAAGTGCACTCATTATATAGTTAACACCCATTTCAAAATATTTAAATTAGGATTAACAATTAAATGTTATACTCCGTATATTTTAAAACTACACTAAATACTTCATTAAGCCGCAAGAATATAGAGCCCGTCACCCCAATTTTTAGCACATCAATTTTATCGGTCAATTTTTTTTACCAAATACATAATTTTTAATTTCACGCGCTAAATTATGTAATAATCAAAATAAGTAAGTTTGCAGTTTCCTTTCATATGTTTTTCTTTATTTCATTAATAAAATATACCTTTTTTGAATCAAATTAATAAAATATACTTTGAATATAATTTTACGTAATTCAGCAGATTTAGTTAATTCTGACGCTTCAATCAGGATTTCGTCAATTTTAGACTTTTAGTAGATTTAGTCTATTTAAGTGTTACCAAATGAGCTCATAATAAAAAACTATTTTATAAAACCGACTTATAAATCCACTGTAAGAATGATGTTTGAGAATTTTAAAATTAGATGGAGAGCTTCAAAATTGGTAAGCAATGCCTACTTTTTATATGTCTAGACTCTAGAGTCACCTCATTCTTTTAATTTTAATTTGGTGTTGATTTCAAAATTTAATTTTCTAATACGATAAACGAAGTAAGGATGCTTTTGATAGAACTCAAATAACTATCAATACAAACTATTTTATTCATAATATAACCATTTTTAGAGTATATATACCATATTTAACATATATGGATTAAGAATCTTCAATGCCTTAGCGGTTTGGAACTGGATATATGGTTTGTGCATGCTCTGGGGTGTGTTCGGGGTCACAAGTTTGAAACCCGTTACCCATAGGTGGGTTAAAAAATTAAATGGGTTTTTATGCGGTTCTCCACAATCGCAGCAAATATGATTTTTTCTAATTTCTATTAGTGAACATGGGTCAATTTTTGATAAAATGACATTGTTTTTCTCAAATTTGAGAATTATATCCCCTTTTAAAAAGATGTCAAATCCGACATTACATTTAACAAAGTTACTTTAGTGTACACACCCAAGTTGTATGTGTCATAGACAAATTTGTTATTTTTAAAAAAATTAAATGTGGTATCGATAATAATTTCCCTTAAAGACAAATTATGTGTTGCTAAATGGTAAAGCAACTTAGCAACATAAGTTATCAGAATGAAAAATAAAATATTATAGATAGCATAAAAGAAGAAGCTGCAGAATTAAAAGGATATTTAAATGAGAGTAAAATGTCCCAGCCAAATCATTTTGGAAGTGAGTTTCACTTGGTACGAGATTGATGCAGATGTGACCATTGATGGTACAGTAGGAAAGGAACAGTATATCGAGGTTCAGAAAGATAAGCATTGGCATAGATGCTGCAGCTAGGTAGCTAGCAGCCGCTAGAAATAGGTTGGTATATATAATATGATGAAATACTCCCATCCACCAGTAAAAGACAATAAGAAAGATCAGTTTTATTAGAATATCTAGATGGAAGAAGACACATTTAAGAGTTCGAAAGATGGAACTCATATGCAGCTTCCACTTTGGGGACAAAGCGGCTGGCACGAGGGTGGAGACAGGGGAGGTTTTTGGGGGCCTCGATCTCGTAAAAAAAATTGTGATGTATATACTCTACCGTTCCAAAATTAATTTCTCACTTTCCTTTTCGGGCAGTCCCGAAATTAACTTCAAACTTCAAAACTTTTCTTATTTGACAAATAATCTACATAAAAAAAGTGCCAAACAGTGTCAAACAGTGCACTCCACAGTAAAGTCAAATTTATTTTCTTAATCTGTGTGAAGTCAAACTGTGAACTTAATTACGGGACGGAGGGAATACATAAGTGTACAAATATTATAATCACTTAAAAAATAGTGAAATTTTAAGTTTTGAATTGGAACCCCCAACATAAAATTTCGAGTGATTTACTTAAATAGGACTAAAACAAGGTAGAATTGTAAAAATAAGATTACAAATCTGCCCTTAATTAAAAAAGCCCATGAACTGCTGCTCCAACATCGATTGTGGCCTCGCATCACAGTTTCGTCGCCCTACACTCATCGGCGTCCAGGTAGGTCCCTCCCCCTCTTCTTCTTCCTCTTTTTCTTCGAACATTATCTCCCAGATTCCTCTTTCTCATCTGATTTCTTCTTCTTCTTCTTCTTCTTCTTACTTTGTTTTGTAAAAAGTCATCTTTGTCCTCAAAATGTCATGGAGATGACATTTCCATATATATAAAAACATGACAGTCGTGGAAAATGTCAAGTTGGTGTCATTTTTACTCTTTAGAAATGTCAAAGAAAAACTGTCAACTTGGTAAATGTAATGTCAAGACAGTGACATTTTTCCCAAATCAGTGTTGAATAACATAGCAATTATGCCATTTTTTAGTCCAATTGGTGAAAAAAGTGGAAAATGTCAAGTTGGTGTCATTTTTACTCTTTAGAAATGTGAAATAAAAAATGAAAGCTTGGTAAATGTAATGTCACTGCCTTCACATTTTTTAATTTCAAAGTAAAACTGTCATTTTCATAGATGTAATGCCATAAAATTGACGGTCTTCAAACTATTGATAAAAATGACACCAGAAAATTCCTGGTTTATAAATAAAAATTGAAATCCAAAGAACAAGATAATTGAAGAGGCTGAGGAGCAGAAGAAGAAGGAGAAGAAGAAGAGGAAGATGAAGAGGAAGAGGAAGAGGAAGAGGACGAGGACGAGGACGAGGACGAGGACGAGGACGAGGACGAGGACGAGGACGAGGACAAGGAGGAGGAGGAGGACAAGGAGGAGGAGGAGGAGGAGGAAGAAGAAGAAGAGGAAGAAGAAGAGGAGGAAGAAGAAGAGTACATACTTGCGATCGTTGATGGCGGAGTTGCGACGCTGCGAAAATCATTGAAGAGGTGGCGGCCGGCGTCGAGCAAGCACCTGCGATGATAGCAGATCGAGTTGCGAGCGTTGGCGGCTGAGTCGCACAAGGAAGTTCTCGCAGGTTCGCGATCGATGCAGAGGGATTGGGGAAAAAGGGCTTTAGGGATTGAGGGTAAAAATGTAATCTGGAGTCCCATTTGGGCAATTTAAAACTTCAAGTCCTATTTTGGAGTTTTAACCATGTTTTAGTCCCATTTAGTACAATTTCTTTAAAAAATTTAAGCCCCATCACCCCTAACATGTCATTTCTGACTCCGTCACTAGGCATGCAGCCAATGAAACCAGAATTAAGGTGCACTCCTATGTCTTGAATAATGTACTCCGCGTTAATGTTAATGTATTTTTGCCGCTTTTAGTCCCAATTAATCGGTCAGTAACATTTGACTTTTACATTTGTCATCACACAATAATTATATTTAATTATATATTAGTAATAGTAATTCATATTAAAAAAAATAGTAATTCATATTAATAGAAATTTAATAACATTTTATACATAATAATTTGATTATATATATTACTATATTAGTAGATATTCATGGTCAAAGTATCACAATGTTGCAACTTTTAAAGACCATACAATATACTCCGTAGCAAAAACATAATTGGCTAATTAACAAAGAAGAAAACAGTACCAATTTTTCAAACATTATCACTAAATTTTTATTTCTAAGCTCAGAGACAAGGAACATCGTTAATGTGTGTTAATGACATCAAGTATTATTAAATAAGATCATAAAATGGGAAAATCATTATTGTGGTCATATCTAGAAATTTTATGTTTTGCCATCTCATATCCAGATAAATTACTTGAGCTGTACAGGAAAACTATACTCCTTCTATCCCCCAATTAAGTTCCTCCTTTCCTTTTTGGGTAGTTCCTGAATTACGTTCCCTTTTCCTTATTTGACAAATTAACTACATCAAAACAGTGTCAAACAGTGCAAAATAATGTCATACAGTGTCCAAACAGTAAAGTTTATCCCCATTAATTTTTTTCATTAATAAGTGTGAAAAGCAATAGAGAACTTAATTGGGGACGGATGGAGTATATGCCTTGTAAAGTTATACCATACAACAATATAATTGAAAATCAAACTCCACGGGTAAAAATTTACTAAAATCTAACCTTTCAAGTTAAATTGTGATATAGAAGTTAAACATCAAAGAATAAAGTTATTCTCATTAAATAATATTCTTACTTATATATTATTAATTGCCATAAATTATTTTACTATCTCTAAATAATATATGTATACCTATATTTTTATTGCTTTCATGCATACACACGGATATTACCATTTTTTTAAAGTACGGATATTACCAATTAAGTACAACAATAATATGTCTACATTTAGATGTTTGGATATATTAACATGAGTAGATATCGAATATTTAGAATATAATATGCTCAAACTTATAGCAATTATAATGTTCACTTTTGAAACTTGAACTTTTCCCATTTATAAAAGATTACGGAGTACTATTGTAGAGTTGTACTGAAACAATTTCTCACTTTTCTTATTTGGATGTCCCTAATTTAACTTCTTATTTCCTTAAATGACAAATTATATACATCAAAACAGTGCAAAACAGTGTCAAACAGTGTTAAAACAGTAAAATGTACCCTTGGTAAGTTTATTTCCTTAATATGCGTGTAGGTC